TTACATTTAAAATTGCTGGTTTATATATCAATAGGCATATTAAATTATAACTGCTTAGTTAATGTTTTCTGTTAGGTTGAAAAATGGTTACCGGGTATACATGTGATGATAATTAAAAGTTATCTGAAAGTGTCATAGCAACAAGAGCAATAGGATTTCAAAAAATATGCTACATGTATCAAATGTATAATCTAAGTGAAAAGGAATTAGGAGCTATCTTTGGGGCTAATATTTTTTCACACATTCATCCCCCTTCCCTAAATGTGTCCACCGGCCCCCTCCTCCCTTTCCATCATCCTAAAAATGTTCTATAGTCCTTTGAGTAGTATAGTAATATACCTCTGACACAATGGTGGCTTCCGTCTCGCCAGTTTCAAACTCCCAGTAGCTGTCTGGGTCATCAGAGCAACTGATTGTCTTATTCACCACACCGGCCACATAGTAAGTACTAATACACTCTCCAAGTACTGGCCTCAGGGAACTGTTCAGTGCAGTACTGTCGTTGATTCTGGTATTGCTGCTGCTGTATTTGTTGGAAACACACATGTGTTTGGGGGTAAAACCAAAAAAAGCCATGATGACGATGTTGAATACTATTGGGAAATAGTTGCATGCCAAAAGGAAAAATATCCCCAGCTGGTATTTTCCTGGCTTTCCAAGTGTTTCTATTAATGTGTCCAACTGGAACTTCATGGTTATTTTTAAAGCTGTAAAAAAAAAATAATAATAAACCCTATTATTAAGTTTTATTGTTAAAAAAAAGATATGAAAGAATAATGTATATACAAAATGTACACTCAAACCTTGTTATCTCAAACTGAATGGGACCAATCGAGCAACAACTTGGAGCTTAAATCCAAGGATTCCAGATATCAAGGTTATATTTATTAAGCTGGTTGGGATTTCTAACTTACTTCAACTTATTCATTTTGGTTTGGTATCTGTGATATCTGATATATCGAAGTTCGAGATACAGAAGTTCAACTGTCAAACCAACTTCTTTTTACTGCTAATCTATCTCATGTTTGTAAAGCATATGTGTGCACACAAGTCAACAACAGTTGGAACTGTGCATTTTATAGTTACAATCATTAATAAGCATTTTATGCACAATCTTTTTATCTAAAGATTGCTTAATTTTTTCATATTTATTATTTAATTGTAATAACTAATCAAAGTGACATGTAAATACTAGTATATACATGATACAGTCACCAAATTCTTACTTAACATAGACATTTGGTAACAAAATATATTTGGCTGTATTCACTTTTAAGCAAGTAAAACATAGGCATAAATTAAAACATCTACATCTGTATCAAACACCCATATCAATATTTCTGGTAAGAGAATGAACAAATAATTGTAACTTGTTTCACGTAGCTTAGGTGATGTTGATGGGAGAGTAAACACTTGCTTCAGACTTTTAAATGAATCAATAAAAAAAAATCGTTACTATTAACAAAGTTTACTTTTCGATGGATATCACTGGTATTTCATTAAACTCAAAGTCCTGGTTTACATTTCATTACACCCGCTACACGTGTATGCCAAAAGTGAAAGCGAAAGTACACTGTAATGCTCATTCATGTCTTGTCATTTCTTTACTCATCAGCCAAGGTCATCAAAATCGATTTAATATAATTAATTCTTTTACGTCTGTTGAGTTTTATAATTAATCAATATTTCCATGACCACAATCACTAAATAATTATAACCTCTAAACGCTAGAAAGATAAATTCCGAGGGAATGACCTGCACAAAACATGTCATATTTAGAAATGTAAGTTTTATAAAACGACTTAAAATTCTTTTTCTTACCTTTGTTTACAATACTTATTCCCCCAAAAAGTAGTCGAATAATCTCCGTGAGTGTAAATACAGCTACCTTTCCCCCACGTTCATGTTTGACAGTGCAGTCTGAGCACACTCTCTCAGTGTGATCACTGGAAACTATTTTTGTTGATCCGGTAGCTTTTCCGCGATTGGGTAATTTTTAATAGCTCTTCGCTCAGTCAATATAAATAAACTCATATAATAAACGACTTTATATAGCTTTAAAAAGTATGTTCGATTTTGGATTTTTGCCAGTCTAATTTAGTGTAGACTGGAGCTTTTCTTAATTTACATAATATTATGTGTGTGAGAGAGGGGGGAGGGGGAATTTTCCCATCCTCAAATGGAATTTTTGAATATAAAAAAAGATAAAACGACTTCATATAGCTTTAAAAAAGTATGTTCAATTTTGGATTTAATGTAGATTGGAGATTTTCTGTACGTAATATTGAGAGAGAGAGAGAGATGGGTGGGGAATTTTTCCGGCCTCAAGTTGAATAATTTCTTTAAGTCAAATATGTTAAGCTGATTTGATTTGGATTTCTGGTGAGGTTACGATTCAGCAAAATGTTAATACTAGTAATTCGGACAATTGATTTTTTCATTAGATGGATCGAATGTTTTGTCACATGGATCATCTGCATGATGAGTTTGTTTTCTGGGACAGATATATTTTAAATTACATATATTTTTTAAACCACTTAAAAACCAATCAAGTGCAGATATTATTTTATTAGGACAGTATTTTTGAAAAGTGGGCCACACAATCGAGTGTTCGAAGTGCTAACCAAAAGTCAAAATGTTGCATGTTTATGCTGCTTGAAGGTTATAAAATAAAAATACACTTTAACATGTTTAATGTAATGTGATAAAATTAGCAGAAAAAAAAATCGAAAACACAATTTTATCAGCTATACATGTGCTAGCCTCTGATCAGTCTTAGAGATTGAGAGGTGGAATCCGACTGCAAACAACACTCCAGTTTCTACTCTATACCCCCCCCCCCAAATTTCCCCCAAAATAATTTATATAAAAAATGTCCTGGTTCTTTCTATTTCGTCGATCATCGTTTTTCATATATTTCCTGTTTCTCCTGCAACCAGAGTGGCATATTTTACAGTTATTCGTAGAGAGAGAGAGAGAGAGAGAGAGAGAGAGAGAGAGAGAGAGAGTAATATAGAATGCTTTGATTAAATTTTTATTAATATGTACACTCACTGCTGGTAAAGTGCGAATCGAGAAACATTGGTTTCGGACACTCATGTGAGAAGACGTGTTTAAGATATATTATTTGAAATAATAATATGTAACAGATACTAAATTTGTTTAACGAAATGACGAATTCGTTCAATCGAATTTAATTTGTTTTTGCAAATTGAAGAATTCGTTTAAACAAATTTAATTCTTTATAACAAATTTTAGAATAAATAAAATAATATTTTGATCATTCCTTCATATTAAGCAATAAAAAAACGTTCTGTGTTTTTAACTGAATGATTTTGTTACTTAGACGGCATAAACAACCAGACATGGCATCAAATAATCCAAAAATGTACTGGTGCGTATCAACGAATTGTGATGGCTGTAATTTTTTGTCAGAATGGAGGTCAGGCTTTTAAATAAATAAACGAATGATATGGATTTTTTTTATCCCATCCCCTCGCTTGAAAAGTAATGGGGGTATACATCCGTAATACTTGAGGGTACCCATCTCTTATCCTCTTCTCCTCCTATACCTTGAATTAAATTCAATGAGACTTTCACAGAATCTTTATTATAAAGTACCATTGTGCATCTTTTATTTTACATTTTGATCGGACAGATATTTGGGGTTCTCACAGGAAAGCCTGAACACTGCCATTCTTTCTAAAAAAAAAATTGAAAGTGCCCTTAAGAGAGTTCTCTTATCCACAACTCCTCCTATTGCACTGAATAAAATGTAATGAGATTTTCACAGAATCTATATTACATAGTGCAATTGCACACGATTTCGTGCACTTCCTATGTTTCGTTTCGATCGAACAGATATGTGGGGCTTCCCATAGCAAAGTAATGGACACTGCCATTCTTTCTATAATGGGGTACCCATCTCTTATCCGCAACTCCTCCTACACCACTGAATAAAATGTAATGAGACTTTTAAAAAAATCTGTATTACATAGTGCTATTGTGCACCTCCTATTTTTGTTTTCGATCGAACAGATATTTGGGGTTTCCCATGGCAAAACGTGGACACTGCCATTCTTTCTAGAAAATGCGGGGGGGGGGGGGGGTGTTACCCATGCATCTCTTAACCACAACTCCTCCTATACCACTGAATAAATTAAATTAAATGAGACTTTCACAGAATCTTTAATACATAGTGCCATTCTACACCTCCTATTTTTCTTTGCGATCGGACAGATATTTGGGGTTTCCCATAGCAAACAAGAGACCCAAGGGCCTTAACGGTCACCTGAGTATAATACCTAACTGTAAAGGAATAATAGATTGAAGAATAAAACAAAACAAATAAATAGATGAAGATAAATTATCCGAAAGCAAGAGAAATAAGATGCTCAGGAATGAACAAAATAGGTAATCTAGTACTCTGTAACGAATCAAAAAGTAGATCTATTTACTTGCCTGTACGTGCCAGTGATAATACACTCCCAATTTTCACCATCACCGTGTAGACTAAACAAAAGAACAGCTGCTTGATCACATAAATTCATCTCAAACCATCTCAGATTGGCCTATCCTGGTCCTTAAAGAACATTTAATGTTCAAAGATAAGGTATTTTATCTCATTTTTATTTATGTATAAAATACAAGTCTACCTGACCATTAAAATCTTGAAAGTACTTTAGGTGTTATAGATTTAAAAAATGTAATTCTTTTATTCAATGAACTTATTCTAAAATTACATTAAAATTCATCTCAAACCATCTCAGATTGGCCTTTCCTGGTCCTTGAAGAACATTCAATGTTCAACGATAAGGTATTTTATCTCATTTTTATTTATGTATAAAATTGTCTACCTGACCATTAAAATCTTGAAAGTACTTTAGGTGTTATAGATTTTAAAAAAATGTAATTCTTTTATTCTACGGAAGCCCATTCAGGACCTATTAAAAATATTTTTGAATTCGATATAACGAATTGATGAATTTGTTATAACAAATTTAATTCGTTATAACAGTTTATTTGAATTCGTTATAACGAATTTAATCTGTTATAACAAATTTGTTGAATTCATTATAACGAATTCAAAAATTGGTTATAACGAATTAAATTCGTTTAAACAAATTCTAAAATTTGTTATAACAAATTAAATTCGTTTAAACGAATTTTAAAATTTGTTATAACAAATTAAATTCGTTTGAACGAATTCTAAAATTTGTTACATCGAATTAAATTCGTTTAATCAAATTCAACAATCAGGGCCTGTAGAAAAATATATATGAATTCGATATAACGATTTGTCGAATTCGTTCTAACAAATTTAATTCGTTAAAACAAATTAAAGAATTCATTTTAACGAATTTAATTCGTTATAACAAGTTTTAGAAATCGCTATAACGAATTTAATTCGTTATAACAAATTTTTCAATTCGTTGTAACGAATTCAACAAATTTGTTATAACAGATTAAATTCGTTAAAGCGAATTCAAAGAAACTGTTATAACGAATTAAATTCGTTATAACAAATTTGACAATTCGTTATATCGAACTCAAAAATATTTTTTGATAGGTCCTAAATGGGCTTCCGTACTATTCAGTTAACCTATTTTAAAATTACATTACCAACAGTGATTAATTATCATAGGTGAATAGCAAATGGAAATAACTTCTTTTAGTACAGTACAAATTTCCCTATAAAATCGGTAGAGCCTTGCCCAGCAACAGCACACTTGACCCAGCGATCCAGAATGTCACAGATCTGGTAAAATAACCCATGTTCATTCAACTTTGTACTTTGTTTGCTTCCTAAATTTAAAAAAAATTAATGTATTTTCACTATATAATCAATAGTCTCTCTCTCTAACACCAGAACCCCTGACACAATATGGAAAACGCACCCTTTTTCATCATAACCATGCACTAAGTTTATCTGCTAAATACCCAGGAGCAAAGAAGACGAAGAATTGATTCATTTTCACTATTTAATCAATAGAGCCCCACCCTAACACCAAAACCCCCGACTCAGGGGTTATTTTGAAGAGGCACCCTTGCTCATCATAACCATGTGCTTAGTATGTCTGACAGATACTCAAGGTCAGAGAAGAAGATTTTCAAAGAAATAATGCATTTTCAATGTACATGTATACACTCAAAAGAGCCCTGACACAGAACTTGTTTCTGTAATGAATTTTTTAACCCATTGTAAAATAATAACACAAGGTATCTAACTCTGAATTACATTGAGTTCCCCGTCCCTAGAATTGCAGTCATTTACACTTTCAGAGAAAATGCACTAGCAAACTGTTTATTACCATTGTCTTCTACAATGATTTATCTACACAACCATATATGGCATGCTTATTTTGTCACCCTGAAAGAATTCGGGGAGACATATTGCTATTGTACGCAAAATAACTTTGTCCGCGGATGATTTCGCGGACGACCGGGACAATTTTACAGAAACGTATTAGTATTTTTTTTAAGCTGGTAATTCCAACTTTAAAATTGGAAATTCAAACTTTAAAGTTTGCTTTTCCAACTTAAAAGTTGGAAATTCTAACTTTAAAGTCGGAAATTCGATCCAGTTTTAAATTTAGTAATTCCAACTTTAAAGTCGGTAATTCCAACTTTTAGCTTGGTGTTTCGAACTTTTAAGTTGGTAATTCCAACTTTAATTCTGATTTTTCAAACTTTAATCTTGGCTTTTCCATCTTTGAACGGCGTTATGCATTATATCTTGATACTTTGTAGCTGGACTCGTGTTGCTGTTTTATATATTGATGAGATACTTTGTAGCTGGACTCTTGTTACCGTTTGTAATAACATGTATAATGTACTTACAATGGAAAGAAACGATTTTATTATGAAATGATGAAAGAAGGAATTTTTTTTTTGTCTTTTCATATACAGAATTGATACATTTAGTTCAGTTGTATTTG